ATACAATACCACCATTTCATTATGGTACACATTATTCAACAGCTGCACTTACACTTGGTTGGCTTATTCGACTTGTTAGTTTGAATATAATTATATTTAAATGAATCGAATAGTTTTCTTGTTTTTTTTTAGGAACCATTTACAACATTTATTTAAATTTACAAGAAGGAAAATTTGATCATGCTAATCGATTATTTCATTCAATACCATTATCATGGCAAAATTGTCAACGTGATTCATCAGATGTTAAAGAATTAATACCGGAATTTTTTTCTCTACCTGAAATGTTAACAAATTGTAATCATTATAAATTAGGACGAACCGAAGATGGAATTAAAGTTGATGATGTTATTTTACCTAAATGGGCACAAACACCAGAAGATTTTATTCGAATTAATCAAACAGTAATAAAAAACAAGAGAAATTTTTTGAAGAAATAAAAAAAAATTCTTTCTTTTTAGGCATTAGAATCTGAATTTGTTTCATGTCATTTACATCATTGGATTGATTTAATTTTTGGTTATAAACAAAGAGGTTTGATTTATAAGATTAATATTATTTTAATAATATATATATATTTTTTTTTAATGACCTGAAGCTGTTCGTGCTGTTAATGTTTTCTATTATTTAACATATGAAGGTGCTGTTAATCTTGATTCAATAACAAATCCAACAGATCGTGCTGCTATTGAAACACAAATAAGAAATTTTGGTCAAGCACCAGCACAACTTTTAACTGAACCACATCCACCAAGAAATTCAGCAATGAATTTAGTAAGCCGAAACAAACACTTTATCTTTTTTTAATAATTCTTTTTTTGTCTATTTTAGACGCCAATGATGTATAATGTGTAAGTAGTTTTTTTTTTCTCAATAAAAGAAAAAATAATTTAAATATTTTAATACACCAGAAGATGTATCAATGATAATGAAATTTTCATCGAATGCATCTATTATTCATGTTTCTGCTAATACAAATCCAACACTTTCCATACAAGCTATTATTACAATTAGTAATAAACATGATTTTTCTATAAATAAATATCATCCAAATGCTAGTACACCAACACAAACTTATTCTGAATCATCACAAACATCAATACATCAACAAACACAATTACTATTAAGCATGGATTCAATATTAGGTAGATTAATTCTATAGTTAAACTTTTTTATAGATATTAATTTGAATAATAATTATTCTATATTCAAAAATAAAATAACAATAAGAATATCTTTTTTTTTATTTAGTATCAAATATAAATTTAAATCGTCATCATTTGGGTGATAATTTTTATGAACGTATTCAACAACGACATCAAAGTTTTGTTGTTACTGCTGATAACCGTTATATAATATCAACTGGTTATTGGGATAAAAGTTTTCGTGTACAAAATACTGATATAGCTAAAATTACACAAGTACTCTATGGTCATTTTGATATTGTTACATGTGTATGTCGTTCGGAAGTAACTATTGCTGGAAATTGTTTTCTTGCAACTGGTTCACGTGATTGTACAGTTTGTATTTGGATATGGAATGGTACAAAAGGTGCAATAGTTGATCGTGAATATCCAAATCAAGGTTATAATTAAATTTAAAAAAAAATCAATATATCATAACTAGCGAGAGCCCATGCATACACTGCTTGGTTGTTTTCTCTTTTCATCTATAACTTAAGACGTTTAACTTTTCATTCAGGAACAGACATACAGACATTCAATATTATGTATGTTGATAGATAGCCCTACAGTCTCATACTCTTATATCGCACGTATTTTTATAGTCCATGTAGCCTTCGGCCTTATAGCTTTATATTCCTTGTAGCTATTGTAGCCTTATCCCCTTGAGAACCTATGGCTATTCCCATATTATTGCTCTTCATGTCCTATAGATATACCATATAATAGCCCTTGAGGACCTATGGATTTCCCTATATAATAGCCCTTAAGGCCTTCCGCTTATAGGACTATTTGACTTTTAACCTTTAACCTTGGACCTGAGCACAGAGACGTCAGACAGGCACTGAACAACATATATATGTATAGATTTTTTGTATTTATATAGAAATCAATCCATCACCAGCAGCAATTTTAACTGGTCATGATAGAGAAATAACATGTTTATGGATATCAGCTGAACTTGGTATTGTTTTAAGTGGTAGTGAACAAAGTCTTGTACTTCAACATACACTTAATGGTGATATATTACGTTCATTTGAAAATCCATCAAAAATATCTACACCACGTCTATTATCACCATCAAATGATGGTGATATTATTGTTTGTTATGATCGTTCAAAATTATGTTTATATACATTAAATGGAAAATTAATGAGACAAGCAATATTTGAAGATGAAACTATTCAAGTAAAATCAAAACAAAAAAAAAGACAAAAATAATTATTTTTTTTTAATCTTTGTCTAGTGTATGGTTTTAAATGCTGATAGTCAATATACAGTTATTGGTGGTGATCGAGGTTTTGTACAAATCATTCGAACACATGATTTACAACCTGTTTATGCTTATCCACAATGTGATGCTAGTATTCGTTCATTAGCAATAACTCATGATCAAAAGTAAAAACAAATGATTATTATATAATAACTCATTAAAGAGTTCTTTTATTATTTTTTTCTCACTATCATATTTTATATAAATTTTTATGTATGCAGAAAAAAAATATAGTTTTTTCTTTGTTTAATTTAGATATATCATGGCAGGTCTTTCTACAGGTTGTTTGATTGTATTTAATGTTAATTTTAATGTTCTTAATCAACCTCGACGTGATTCTGAAACGCCTACTGCAAATGTTTAATAAAAAATGTTTTCTGTTTGTTTTTTTTTCGTGGTGTAATAGATTTTTTGACTATTAATATTTTAACACATTTTTTTTTCTCTGCGCTTTCATATGAGGCTTTTTTTTTCTTATAGACATTCCAAATTCCTTGCGTTTATATGGTTCTTTATAAAAGAAAAGATCCATGGTTTCATTTTTGTTTTGAATAGGTGAGAACGGCTGCTACATCAAGTAGTATTTTTTTGTTTTTGTTTTTGTGTTTGATTTGTTGGGTGGGAAATAAGAAAGCCCCAGTGATATTCATTTTGTTGTTGGTGTTTATCGTATTTATCTAGGTTAATTTGTAACGTGCATGCTTAAAAAAAAAGATAAAAATCTTTAACAATATCACGATCTTAAATATTTCATTTGTCTGTGCATTTTTCTTTTTACTTATGCTTATAAACGGAGTTCACCGCATTCCTTTTTTTGTTCTTATATTTCTTAAGCTTCAAAAAAAAAAAAAATAAAGCAATTCAATAACTATTCATATACTTCGCACATAAAATAAAGAATTATTTGCAATAATCAAATAGTTTATCTGTATAATTGGTTTTAGATTATTCTGATAAATTGACAAGTTAAAGAATGACAGCAGCAACTGGTAAATGAATTTATAAATAGTAAATTATTGAAAAAACTTTGTATCTACAAAGAAGTAATGAACCAATCCTTTTACTGCAGCAGACCTTTCCCTAACCGAGAACTCGACTTTTGGTTTAAGAGTCATGAGATACGTTATATTAGCAAGTTTTTTGTATAGAACAGAAGGTGAGATTGTTCCTTACAAAATTATATCAGAATAAAAAGTTTGAGAACCAATTTGCAGATCTCGACAAGACCACTTCATAATTCTTAAATAATGTTATTAAATTATTTTTCAATAATTTGTTTGTAAATCCAATGATAAATTCAAAGAAGAACCTATAAAATATATGCTTCTATAAAGGTGACCAAAAGAAACAATACATGCTTGTACCTGGTGGTGCTGGTTTTATTGGTAGTCATTGTGTTATTGAATTGATTACAGCTGGTTATACACCAATTGTAGTAGATAATGAACATAATTCATCAGCAGGTGAAATTAAAAAATATCAAATAAAAAATTTGATTCTATTTAGAAAAAAATTCTTTTTTAGAATGTTTAAAACGTGTTGAACAAATTACTGGATGTCAAATAATTAATTATAAAATTGATTGTCTTGATATAGAAAATTTACGAAATATTTTTAAAAAATATTTAATTTATGCAATAATCAATTGTGCTGCACTTAAATCAGTTGGCGAATCAGTACAAAGACCAATTTTATATTATAAAAATAATATTGGTTGCTTACTTAATTTACTTGCAGTAATTGTTTTCTAATTATTAAATAAATATATTTATTTGAATATTATTTAGTGTATGGAAGAATTTAATGTTAAAAATTTTCTTTTTTCATCATCAGCTACTGTCTATGGTACACCAAAATATTTACCACTTGATGAAAAACATCCATGTATTGGTGATGCTATTACTAATCCATATGGTAAAAGTAAATATATATGTGAACATATTCTTAAAGATACAATAGTTGCTCATCCTGTTCGTATTTTAAAATGAAAATAATCTATTTTTTTGTTTTTTTATTGTTGTTAATTTATTTAGGAATGGAATATCATTCTCTTACGTTATTTTAATCCTGTTGGTGCTCATAAAACAGGTTTAGTTGGTGAAGATCCTATTGGTAAACCAAATAATCGTATGCCATTTATTGCACTAGTAGCTGTTGGTCGTTTACCATATGTTAATATTTTTGGTACTCATTATGATACTTCAGATGGTACCGGTAAACATAAGCAAATAAATATAATTTATCTTCTTATCATTAAAAAACTATTGAATTTGTATAGGTGTTCGAGATTATATACATGTTGTTGATGTAGCTATAGGTCATATTGCAGCAATGAAACAATTTGAAATGAATTGTGGTTTAAAAGTTAGTAATAGATAATGATTTAAATTTGTTTTTTTTATTCTTTCTTAGTTAGATTTATAATCTTGGTACTGGTAAAGGTTATTCTGTATTAGAAATGATTAAAGCATTAGAAAAAGCATCAGGCAAAATAATATCTTATAAAGAATGTTCTCGACGTCCAGGTGATCTTGCAACTGTTTATGCTGATCCAACATTAGCAGCTCAAGAACTTGGATGGACAGCTCAACGAAATTTAGATGAAATGTGTAAATAAGTTTTTATTTTTAAGTACAGATTTAAAATTATATTTTTCTTTTATAGTGGAAGATTTATGGCGTTGGCAATCGAATAATCCAAATAGATTTCAATAGAATCACATACATAGTATTAATTTAATACATCTGTAGAAGTTAAATTTAAAAAAAAAGAGAATCTCTTTCTATTTATAAACGCATTTAGTCAATATTTACATCTACTTATTTATGATGTTTTAGATGAGTAATATTTACATTCAAGAGCTAGCTACTCGTGGCAAAGTTGTTTTAGATACAACTGTTGGTGATATTGAAATTGTACGCAATTTTGTATTTTTTTCTTTTTACAAACGGCACTACAAAAGTTTTTTTTTCATCAAGTCTTAGTTCTAGATGTTCGATCAACATATAATTTCATATGATTTTATACACCGAATCCCTTCAGTCTTCTTATTTTGTATTTTTAATAACTAGAACATTGAACTTATTACGAAATATCCAATCTCAATCCTAACATGTTCACCTATGTAACTAATCGGAATGACATATAAGAATAAGATATTTTAGAAAGTTTAGAAGTTCCACAATTGATCTCAATGCACAACATTTAGGAAAGTCGGACGAATAAAAAAAAAACACTTTTGTAGTGCTCTATATAATAAATGTGAAATAGTAATATGTTTTTTTTTGTTTTTTAGGAACTTTTCTCTAAAGAATACCCATTATGGTTATTATGATGGTACAGTTTTTCATCGAGTTGTACCAAATTTT